TGCTGAAAAATGAAATCTTCATCTCCATAAAGCTTTTCAGCAGATGGAAGCATGAAGTGCTCCAAAATCTCCTGATAGCTAGCTGCATTGACCCTGCCCTTGATAAAACACAGTGGACCAACACCAGCAGCTGATATGGCACCCCAGTGACTGTGGAAACTTGACACTGGACCTCAAGCAATCTGAATTCTGTGTCTCATCTCTTCCTCCAGACTCTGGGACCTTGATTTCCAAAGGAAATACAAAATTTACTGTAATCAGAGAACATAACTTTGGACCACTCAGCAGCAGTCCCAGGCGAGATGCTTCTGACGCAGTCTCTTGTTCAAAAGTGGCTTGACCTGGGGAATGCGGCACCTGTAGCCCATTTCCTGCACATGCCTGTGCATGGTGGCTCTGGATGTTTCTACTCCAGGCTCAGTCCACTGCTTCCGCAGGTCCCCCAAGGTATTAAAACAATTAAAGACCTGAAATATTTCAGTTGGTGTGCAATGAATCTGAAATATATGAAAGTTTCATTTTTATCATTACATTATGGAAAATAATGACCTTTATCACAATATGCTAATTTTTTGATAAGGACTTATATATATATATATATATATATATATATATATATATATATATATAGATATAGATAGATAGATAGATAGATAGATAGATAGATAGATAGATAGATAGATAGATAGATAGATAGATAGATAGATAGATAGATAGATAGATAGATAGATCGATAGAAAAAATAGAAATATATATATATGATTATATATAATTCAGAATTCATTGTTCCATCAATGATGACACACCGTCCTGGCCCAGATGCAGCAAAGCAGGCCCAAACCATGATGCTACCACCACCATGTTTCACAGATGGGATAAGGTTCTTCTGCAAGAATTGTTTTCCTTTCTCTAAACATAATTTTTTTCATTCAAACAAAAAGTTCTAGGGGGACCGTAAAGTGTGTTCTAACTACAGGGGGATCACACTCTTAAGCCTCCCTGGTAAGGTCAATTCAGGGGTTCTGTAGAGGAGGGTCCGTTGGATAGTCGAACCTCAGATTCAGAAGGAGCAATGCGGTTTTCGCCCTGGTCGTGGAACACTGGACCAGCTCTACACTCTCAGCAGGGTCCTGGAGGGTGCGTGGGAGTTTGCCCAACTACATGTGCTTTGTGGACTTGGAGAAGGCGTTCAACCACGTTCCTTGGGGAACCCTGTGAGGGGTACTCTGGGAGTATGGGGTACCAGGCCCTTTGATACGGGCTGTTAGGTCCCTGTATGACCGGTGTTAGACCCTGGTCCGCATTGCCGGCAGTAAGTCTGGCTTGTTCCTGGTGAGAGTTGGACTCCGCCAAGGTTGCCCTTTGTCACCGATTCTGTTCATAACTTTTATGGACAGAATTTCTAGGTGCAGCCAAGGTGTTGAGGGGATCTGTTTTGGTGGCCTTAGGATTGCGTCTGTTTTTTTGCAGATAATGTGGCCCTATTGGCTTCATCAGATCGTGATCTACAGCTTTCGCTGGAGCGGTTCGCAGCCGAGTGCGACACGGTCGGGATGAGGATCAGTTCCTCCAAATCCGAGGCCATGGTCTTGAGCCGGAAAAGGGTAGAGTGCCCTCTCCGGGTCAGGGAGGAGGTCCTGCCCCAAGTGGAGGAGTTCAAGTATCATGGGGTCTTGTTCACGAATGAGGGAAAAACGGAGCGTGAGATCGATAGACGGATAGGTGCAGCGTCTGCAGTGAAGCGGGCGCTGTACAGGTCTGTCGTGGTGAAGAGAGAGCTGAGTCAAAAGGCGAAGCTCTCAATTGACCGATCGATCTACGTTCCCACCCTCATCTATGGTCATGAGCTTTGGGTTGTGACCGAAAAAACGAGATCTCTGATACAAGCGACCAAAATGAGTTTTCTCCACTGGGTGTCTGGGCTCTCCCTTAGAGATAGGGTGAGAAGCTTGATCATCTGGGAGGGACTCAGAGTAGAGCCGCTGCTTCTCCACGTCGAGAGCAGCCAGTTGAGGTGGCTCAGGCATCTGGTTAGGATTCCTCCTGGACACCTCTCTGGTGAGGTGTTCTGGACATGTCCCACCGGGAAGAGACCCAGAGGAAGACTCAGGACATGATGGAGGGACTATGTTTCTCGGCTGGCCTGGGAACGCCTCGGGATTCCCCCCGGAGGAGCTGGCCCAAGTGGCTGGGGAGAGGGAAGTCTGGGCCTCCCTACTTAAGCTGCTACCCCCCAACCCGTCCCCGGATAGGCAGAAGAAAATGGATGATGGATGGATGGATGGTTCTATTTTGGTCTCATATGTCCACAAAACATTCTTTCCACAGTCTTCTGGTTTGTCCATGTGATCTTTATCAAACTGCAGACGAGCAGCCATGCTCTTTTTAAGAGAGCAGTGTCTTCTCCTTCAACCCTGCCATGCACACCATTGTTGTTCAGTGTTCTCCTGATGGTGGACTCATGAACATCAACATTAGTCAATGCGAGAGAGGCTTTCAGTTGTTTAGAAGTTACCCCGGGGTCCTTTGTGACCTTGCCGTGTATTCCACGCCTGGAGTGATCTTTGTTGGTCCACCACTCCTGGGGAGGGAAACAATGGTCTCAAATTTCCTCCATTTGTACACAATCTGTCTGACTGTGGACTGGTGGAGTCCAAACTCTGTAGAGATGTTTTGTAACATTTTCCAGACTGATGAGCAACAACAACTCTTTTTCTGAGCTCCTTGGAAATCTCCTTTGTTCCACCAACATATTGTGAAGAGCAGACTTTGATAGATCCTGTTCTTTAAATCAAACTCACACCTGATCATCATCGTTGATTGAAAACACCTGACTCTAATTTCACCTTCAAACTAACTGTTAATCCTAGAGGTTCACATACTTTTACTACTCACAAATATGGATCATTTTCCTCAATAAATAAATGACCAAGTATAATATGTTGGTCTAATTTGTTTAACTGGTTCTCTTCATCTACTTTTAGGACTTGTGAGAAAATCTGATGATATTTTAGGTCAAATTTATGCAGAAATATAGACAATTATAAAGGATTCACAAACTTTCAAGCACCACTGTATGCATCCCAATGTTAGTTGATAATACTCAAAATAAGAAAATGAATTAATTTGTGAATGTGAAACTTACAGACCCATCATTAGGATTGATGGTATCATAACTCTTTCCGTCTTCTGCATCCTCAAACTTGCCATTGATAAAACACTGGTACGGCATTTTTATTGTCATGTTGTTCACTTCTTTGGTTACCTGGGTAAAAAAGAAAAAAGCGTTACCCCATTTAGAACAGCAGGTGAAAGGACCCTGCTCCCTGGATGACTGTCACAAGCTCACATAATCAACGATCAGATCTTCCTCCTGGTCCTCTCCTCTTAGCTTACGGACGAACATCTGGATAAAGTCTTGGAAGGTGGTGGCCATGTACACGTCCTCATTCTGCAGCTGGATGCTAGAACACCTCTGCTTGATCTCCTCCACCAACCTGCATGAAAATGTCAGTTCTTCATCAGTTCAAACAGCATATGACAACCATCGCCATCGGTTTTCTATTTTATTGTCCCATGTGGCGGAGTGAAGAGGGGCAATTGGAAATACCATCTGTTGTCTGTCCATGGATGTTGTGAGGATGATACCTTAAAAAATAAGTGACTCATCGACTTCCATTTTGGTGTGTACCTAGGTGTGCGAAAGTTTCCCATCAAGAATTAGGTTCCCAAGTCAAAATCCAAGATGGCCACCATTATATATACTGTGATTTTCAGAGTATAAATCGCATCATTTCCTGTGGACCCACCACCTGCAGGAAGGGCCATAAAAGTTGGGTGCAAGATGCTATGGGCAGTGGTCGAAGGCGGGGACCTTGGCACTCTGACCCTGTCTTACCAAAGCTAGCTCTTGGGACATGGAATGTAACCTCTCTGGTAGGGACGGAGCCTGAGCTTATGCGTGAGATTGAGAGGTCCGACTAGATATAGTTGGGCTCACCTTGACACACAGCATGGGCTCTGGAACTGATCTCCTTGAGAGGGATTGGACATTATTCCACTCTGGAGTTGCCCATGGTGAGAGGCGTAGAGATGGTGTGGGTCTACTTGTAGCCCCCGGACTTGGTGCCTGTGTGTTGGAGATTTCCCTGGTAGATGAGAGGGTGGCTTCTCTTTGCCTTCGGGTAGGGGGGCAGGCTCTTACTACCGTTTGTGCCAAGGCACCAAACTGCAGTTCAGAGTATCCAGCCTTCTTGGAGTCCTTGGCAGGGGTGTTGGAAGGTGTGCCAGATGGGGACTCCTTTATTCTGCTGGGGGACTTCAATGCCCACGTGGGTAATGACAGTGTGACATAGAGGGGTGTGATTGGGAGGAACGGTCTCTCTGATCTGAACCCGAGCGGTGTTCTGTTGTTGGACTTCTGTGCTAGTCATAGTTTGTCCATCACGAACACGATGTTTGAACATAAGGGTGTCCATAAGTGCACTTGGCACCAGGACACCCTAGGTCGTAGATCAATGATTGACTTCATAGTTGTGTCATCTGATTCGCGGCTGTTTGTTTTGGACACTTGGGTAAAGAGAGGAGCTGAGCTGTCAACTGATCACCACCTGGTAGTGAGTTGGATCAGATGGCGGGGGAAGATGCCGGACAGGCCCGGTAGACCCAAATGTGTAGTGAGGGTTTGCTGGAAACGCCTGGAACAAGAACCCATCAGAGAGATCTTCAACTCACACCTCCGGGAGAGCTTTAATCACATCCCAGCTGAGGTAGGGGACATTGAGGCTGAGTGGGCCATGTTCCACACATCGCTTGTTTAGGTAGCTGCCTTGAGCTGTGACCGCAAGGTTGGCAGTGCTTCTTGCGGTGGTCATCCACAAACTCGGTGGTAGACACCCTGGGTTAGGGAGGCTGTCAAGCTGAAGAAGAAGTCCTATCCAGCCTTGTTGGCCAGTGGGACTCTGGAGGCAGCTGAGGAGTACCAGAGGGTCAAGCAGTGTGCAGCCTTGGCTGTTAATGAGGCAAAAGCTTGGATGTGTGAGGAGTTCGGTGAGACCTTGGATAGAGACTCTTTGTCAGCTCCGAAGAGATTCTGGCAAACCATCAGGCGGCTGAGGAGGGGAAATCAGCACTTTATAACACTGTGTTCAGTGAAGGTGGGGTGCTGTTGACCTCAACCAATGATGTCGACGGGAGGTGGAAGGAGTATTTCTCTGACCTTCTCAATCCCACCAGCACAGCTTCCATGGAGGAAGCTGAGTCGGGGGACTTTGGGGTTGATCCGTCAATAACCGTGGCTGAGGTCACTGAGGTAGTTAAAAAGCTCCGAGGCTCTGGATGTTGTGGGGCTGTCTTGGCTGACATGCCTTTGCAACGTCGCGTGGACATCGGGGGCAGTGCCACTGGACTGGCAGACTGGGGTGGTGGTTCCCCTTTTCAAAAAGGGGGACCAGAGGGTGTGCTCCAATTATAGGGGCATCATTCTCCTTAGCATCCCTGGTAAGGTCTATTCAGAGGTACTGGAGAAGCGAGACCAATCGTTGGTCGAACCTCAGATCCAGGAGGAACAATGTGGGTTCCGTCCTGGCCGTGGAACACTGGATCAGCTCTTTACCCTCACTAGGGTCCTCGAGGAGTCATGGGAGTTTGCCCATCCAGTCTACATGTGTTTTGTGGACTTGGAGAAGGTGTGTGACAGTGTTCTTCGAGGTACACTGTGGGGGGTGCTCCCCGAGTATGGGATTGGGGGCCCGTTGCTATGGACTGTTCGGTCTCTATACAAGTGGTACGAGAGTTTAGTGCTCGCATGGCAAGCAGTAAGTCAGACACCTTCAGGGTGGGAGTTGGACTCTGCCAGGGCTGCCCATTGTCACAGATTCTGTTCACAACTTTTATGGACAGAATTTCTCAGTGCAGCCAGGTGGCAGAGAGAGTCCGGTTCAATGGCATCAGGATTCCTTCTATGCTTTTTGCAGATGATGTGGTCCTGCTGGCGTCATTGTGCCATAATCTTCAGCACTCACTGGAGCAGTTTGCAGCCAAGTGATAAGTGGATGAGATGAGAATCAGCACCTACAAATCTGAGGCCATGGTCCTCAGTAAGAAAAGGGTGGATTGCTCTCTGTGTCCAGGGTGAGGTTCTGCTTCAAGTGGAGGAGTTCAAGTATCTCAGGTTTCGTTCACGAGGGTCTGTTGTGATTTGGCACTATTTAAATAAGCTGAATTGAACTGAATTGAGTGGGGAAAATGGAGCATGAAATTGACAGACAGATTGGTGCAGCTTCTGCAGTATTACGCACTCTGTGCCAGTCTGTTTTGATGAAGAGGGAGTTAAGATGAAGGCAGAGCTCTTTGTTTACTGGATTGTCTATGTGCAAGGTTCAAAGGTCTTTATTGTCATTCGGAGCACATGTGATACATGACGTGGAATGATATTGTGTAGTCAAGGTCCCAGTTACACCCCAAAATAAAAAAAAGTATAAAAAAGAAACGGTATACAAAGATCTAAGATATACGCTAAACAATCAAAATGTTAAACAGTAGTCCCTCGATACTTTGTGGTTTTTCAAAGTAAGATTGGATATGGCACACAATTGGCTGATTGATGGATGAGCCACAGGAGTGGCATGAAATTTTTATTTCAAATAAATTATTTAAAATTATTTAGCACCTCCTTCATCTCTGTGCAGCACACACTGCAGGATAAGCTTCCTCCTGCAGCCCATCAGCTGATCGAGTGGGCGTGGCAGAGAGCGCTTGCAGGTGGTGAGAGCAGCCGAGGCAGAGAGCAGAATTCATTACATTCTGTGCTTTTTTTTTGTATTTAGAGTTGAGAAATGTTTGGAATAATGCAAGAGTGTGGACAGGGTTTATAAAGCCATAATATATATATATATATATATATATATATATATATATATATATATATATATATATATATATATATATATATACAAATACACATATACACATATATATACAAATACACATATACACATATATATACAAATACACATATACACATATATATACAAATACACATATACACATATATATACAAATACACATACATATATATACAAATACACATACATATATATACAAATACACATATACATATATATACAAATACACATATACATATATACTAATACACATGTACATATACAGGTCCTTCTCAAAAAATATTGGGATAAAGGTCATTATGTTCCATAAAGTAATGATAAAAATGAAACTTTCATTTATTTCAGATTCATTGCACACCAACTGAAATATTTCAGGTCTGTAATTGTTTTAATACTGATGATTATGGCATACAGCTCATGAAAACCCAAAATGCCTGTCCCAAAAAATAGCATATCATGAAAAGGTTCTCTAAACAAGCTATTAACCTAACCATCTGAATCAACAACGTAACTCTAAACACCTGAAAAAGATTCCTGAGGCTTTTAAAAACTCCCAGCCTTGTTCATTACTCAAAACCGCAATCATGGGTAAGACTGCAAACCTGACTGCTGTCCAGAAGGCCATCATTGACACCCTCAAGCAAGAGGGTATGACACAGAAAGAAATTGCTGAACGAATAGGCTGTTCCCAGAGTGCTGTATCAAGGCACCTCAGTGGGAAGTCTGTGGGAAGGGAAAAGTTTGGCAGAAAACGCTGCACAACGAGAAGAAGTGACCGGACCCTGAGGAGGATTGTGAAGAAGGGCCGATTCCAGACCTTGGGGGACCTGCGGAAGCAGTGGACTGAGTCTGGACTAGAAACATCCAGAGCCACCGTGCACAGGCGTGTGCAGGAAATGGGCTACAGGTGCCGCATTGCCCAGGTCAAGCCACTTTTGAACCAGAAACAGCAGCAGAAGCGCCTGACCTGGGCTACAGAGAAGCAGCACTGGACTGTTGCTCAGTGGTCCAAAGTACTTTTTTCAGATGAAAGCAAATTTTGTATGTCATTCAGAAATAAACGTGCCAGAGTCTGGAGGAAGACTGGGGAGAAAGAAATGCCAAAATGCCAGAGGTCCAGTGTGAAGCACCCACAGACAATGATGGTCTGGGGTGCCATGTCAGCTGCTGGTGCTGGTCCACTGTGTTTTATCAAGGGCAGGGTCAATGCAGCTAGTAATCAGGAGATTTTGGAGCACTTCATGCTTCCATCTGCTGAAAAGCTTTATGGAGATGAAGATTTCATTTTTCAGCACGACCTGGCACCTGCTCACAGTGCCAAAACCACTGGTAA